ATTAGATCACTAATCTTCTGGTTGGCTCTGTGACCAACGGTTCCATTGCACAATCATTTACAACGTCTATGAACTTCATTTCAGCAGCATGACTCAAGCACACCGTTGCCCGGTCAAGCTGAGGGTAGCTGAAGTCAGCCCAAATTGCAACTTTCCTGCTTTACTCCTCTCCCTTATTTCCTTCTACCTCTTGATGAGAGCCTCAAAGGTGTGATTGGGGGTGGTGGTGATGGTACACCCCAACTTTCAAGTGACCCTGAGGCTCTGGCATCTCCAGCCCTAGTGATTCCATGGGGGTTAGGGTATTCTCTCACGTTTCCTAGCTGGCTTGACCCTACACCCACTGGGTAGGAATGGACTGTGGAGGAACGAACGGGGCATCCCCTCAGGTCCCAGGAGATCAGAAAAGCCCCACGGCTGTCCCAGGTCTCTGCCTGGCGAAGCAAGCCTTTCCCTCATTTTTCTTCTTCAGGGTTATGCCACTTCTCTCTGGGGAGTCACGGCTGCCACCAACAGATCACAAAGAGCATCTCCTGCTAGAGAGATCTGTACCTCAAGCACTCTGTGTGTGGCCATTTAAAGGCTCTGCCTGGTTGCCACTTCTCCCGCTCGGCTCCTACCGGCCAGCACAGGGACAATCCATTCACACATTCACATTTTTCAGCCGCTAAGCTCAAAAGATGGTGAGCTGTCCCACTGCCCCTCCCTTTTGCCATCCTTTGGAAAGTGGGACCACAGATATTCGGATCCGAGTGTTCAAAATATTAGTTAAACAAACACAAATAAAAAGAGTACACACGCGGTCTGTTCAGGCATCAGTCTGAGCAAGGATACAAAGAAAAGGCACAAAGCCTGAACTCTGTATTTAGCCTGAACGATGATCAGTTAGGATAGGCTGGAGGTCTTGAAGATGCAGGATACAGAGGTCCGTCATTACTTTCACAGTCACAGTTGGGACTCCTCTCCATTGTCCTTTGACACATAGAATCATAGAGTTGGAAGGGACCTCCAGGGTCATCTAGTCCAACCCTCTGCACAATGCAGGAAATACACAAATATTTATTTTTATTTATTTATTACTTCTATTTACACCCCGCCCTCCCCACGAGCAGGGGCATAATACCTCCCCCTCCACACCCACAGTGTCTCCTGTGACTTCTAGCACTGGCATACTGGCACCTGTGGCATATTTCCCTCTCCAGCAGTCCTCGCCTTGCTCAGCCCTTTGGCCCACGCCCCTGGCCCTCCTTTGCTGGCCTGTTCACACACTCAGGTTCTCTCCCACTCTGACCAAGACTGCCCCAAGCCTTGAACCCCCCCCCCCGCAACAGCACGAGTCCCCCAGAAAAGCAGAGGCTTCCCAGCTCCTTGTCATTCTGCACAGGAGGAGGAGGAGGAGGAGGAGGAGCAGTCTTAGTGACGGGGCACTGCAGGACTGCTGCCCTTTCTGCCACCCTCCTGCCACAACCCCACACAGGGAGGGACAGAGTGGGGGCTGCGGATCGGTGCAGCCGGCCCTGCTTGTCCTGGCCCCGGGACACCAGTGATGCCAGCGTGCCCCGGCACGGAAAGTCCACCCAGCAAGAGGCTTGGGGTGTGTGTGTGGCATAGCTGCCCTCTGTGCCTCGCGTGCCCCAGTCCCGAACTGCATCCTGACCCCCCCCCCCATGAAGCACCAGGCTGCAGCCGCCAGCAGGGGACATGCAGGGAGGCAGGCGGCTCTGTCTTCCTTCTCGCCCATGCTTCCTAACTGTAAGGTGGCGTTGGCGGCAGCACCGGGCCTGGGCTCCCTATCGTCCTCCTCCTCCTCCCCCTCCTCTCTGCATTGCGAACGGCCCCTGCCTGCCCTCAGCATACCGTCTGCAGAGAAACAAAAGAAAGCATTCCAGCAAAGAGACACCGATCCTTTGGGGGGCAGTGGTGGCGGGGGGGGGCGGGGG